AATTTTTATAAATAATAAATAATAAATTTTTATAAATAGTCTAATGGTATTTTTCTTTGGGACTACGCAGTAGTATTTCTATAAGAGTATATACTGTTAAAATTATATATTATATATTTGCACGGAGGCAGTGCAAATTTGAACACATTCTTATGGAAACACTGGGTGCAGTCCCAATGGAAAATGCCGTAAGAAAAACATAACCTAGAGATAGATTTTTCCCGGTTTAAATATTTCCGCCATTGCAAGGTGCGCATGCACGCATCCTAGAATGTCTGTATGATGGTTGACTTAAAGTCGACTTATAGTCGTCTTTAAAGTGGGATATTGTATGACTTAAAGATATCTCCAAGTCATTTAAAGTCGACTCATGAATGTCCATTTTTCAGATGTCTAGAAGCTATAGTCGACTCAGAGTCGATTTAGAATCGACTTTGTGCTGTTAAGGTATTATTAGAAACATTGAAACTAAATAATGTCATTATAAAATTAATTACAATAATGTAATATCATATTACATAATATCTGTGAGAAAGAGAGAGAGAGAGAGAGAGAGAGAGAGAGAGAGAGAGAGAGAGAGAGAGAAAGAGAACGAACACAACTTCAATTTCAACTTGCACAGGTCTCCACTAACTTCAAAGATAGTAGAGCAATATTGAAGAGCAGTATTTGTCATTCATTTTATTATCAGATATTTAAGTACAGAATTAAATGCATTTCTCATTGAAAATAATGATTAAAGATGTTAAAATTTATGAAATTAATCTTAACATAATGATTGTAATCTTTACTTTACTTTTGAAATAACGATTTATGATTGGTTGCGCAAAATCTGCAATGCGCTCATTATGCTACATATTGGGAGTTCACGTTTCAATAAAACTGGCGGAATAACATGTTGAGTACAGAGATAAATTATTAGATAATTATCTAGACGTTTCTCGCCTTCAATTTCAATGAAATTATGCTCATTTGACGCAGTATTATGTGACCGTAGTATATGCTCACATCGTTGTCACAGTGTTTCGTGGCTGACAGATTTTCTAATCTATTGTAAATAGTCATCAACTTTAACGATTAAATCTCACTTCGCGGGATTAGGCACAACATTTAGCTACCAGATTCTTTCGTTTTATGCAAAAACGCGTCGAATTGGCAGTCAATATGAAGTATTGATTTCAAAATGCAAACTTCAGATTAGCTGTTGCAACAAACTTGCGATCAGCTTGCAATTAATGTAAAATCGGCTTAACTATAGATTTTCAGCACTGGCAGTGAATTTTGAAACACAGCTACAATGTAATGCACTGGGGTGCATTCCAAAACTTGACTTTAACTCCAAGCATCTTTCATCTTTATTCAATATTCGGTGACTAACAAGAAGTCTGTTCGCGTTGCTTGCACTTTTTGCACTCGACATTTTCGCTTTTTCTCTTTTTAAAACCAAATATATATTTATTTCATTTTAAGTGTAAAAATATTTGGAGATTTCATGTAATGCGAATAGGATCAAGCATAAAATGATATTCGAGTTGACAGAGTTAATTTTGTACGTAATCTGGGTACGTTTCGTTTCACAATGCGCATGATGAGTGCATTCGTTTATACAGTGGATAGCGCATCCTCTGCTTTCTTATCTGCTGATATGACTTAAATTTACTGAATGGAGCTTTACATGAATAGCTGTTCATATATCGTATTGAATCGTATCTTCCAATAGAAAATCTGAAAAAGCTGAGCTGATCGAAAATTAAGGCCCAGGCGCCCTATTCTTGAGCAAATATCGCATACAGAAATAGCAATTTCGTATATAATCATATCGATCAATCACAATCGAGAAATTGTCATTTTCATATGCAAAAATTATATATATATGTGTGTTCAAAAAAATAGGACACCATTTTCACAACTCATGGTTAATTCTTAACTGAAGTTCAACTCATTCCTCATCTTTTTCTAATGCTAGAATTGGAAAGAGATGAAAAATAAGTTGAAACTCGGTTAAGAGTTTAACTGTGAGTTGTAAAATTAAGCCTAAATAAAAAATCCGAAAATATTACATAAGCTCTAAAATATTATAAAATTTATTTATAAAAAATTCATAATTCTTATACCTGTTGATATTTTCAATCTATCTAAAAAGTGTGATTTTTAAGTTAATTTGATCGCAAATACAAATTAGTAAACTTCATATCTTTTTTATTATATATCTTACGTTACATTATTTTCACTTTAGTAGGATCGATTTCGACAAGTTGTTCTTAACCTTTTTTATTTTTTAATATTTTAATAAAATTCATTTTTAGTAATACAATCGGCTATTATAGCTGGCGGTATTAGGGGCTTCGCATAATAAAAGGAATAGGGAATAGAGAATAGAGAATAAAAATTTCAATCTATTAGAAACTGTATATTTCACGATACATGATAGATTGAAATACTGATAGATTGAAATTATTACTCTCTGTTTTCTGTTCTTTGTTCTTTTTATTGTGCGGAGCTCTTTATGAACAGCAAGATATTCAAAGCAAAGGCAACTGCAGCGCAGTTTGTCTATCATTTACGCAGTACTGCGAGCAAAGCATCTTGAGGACTTCCGAAATAGCTGCGCAGATAGTATGCATTCCTACATAAACGAATGAGTTGCCTTCGCAAGTATAATAAACGAATATGTGCGGCAGTAAAGGCTTATAAACGTAATAGGTATAGGCAATAGGCACAGGGAACAAGGAATATCGAGCTGTCCAATCAGAGCTCTGAAATATAATATCGAACTTACACATCAGAGTTTCGATTGGACGGCTCGTTGTTCTTTGTTGTCTGTGCCTATTGTATTTAAATCTTAACTGTATAAACGAATGCACCCATCATTTTGGGTGCATTTGTTTATGTAATGGATAGCGCATCTTCTGCTTTCTTAGGTGCGTTCGGCAATGTAAATCTAAGATGCGAGCTAGCTTGATCACGTGATCTTCGAGCAATCCGAATGCCAAGATTTAATTCCGAATGATACAGAGCTGTAATCTATTTTTTAAGGATCTCTAGTCAAAGATGAATATTTTTATACCGAAATTATTTTATACCGGCTAAAAATATTGGATGGATTGCGTTTTAATTGCGATATTCGTTCAGAAAAGGCTCCTAAAGGCTCCTCAGAGCGATTTTTTTTGTAAAAAGAGAAAAATAAAATTTTTTCTGATATCTCATTCGATGTGTACTACAGTGCAGTTGAGGTGTATATGAACTTATTAATAAAAATTTTCAAGAATCAATTTGCAACCTGGCTCTGTACGAATCTTCCCAGCAAAAAAGAAATCCCAACAGGTTTCATAAGGAAATATTATTTCTTCGAAAAGAAAAATGAGTGTAACTAATCTAGATCTGCATAATGTACATAATTTTATTTAAAAAATTTTCAAGAATCAATTTGCAAAATCCAGCTCTGTACCAGCTTTCCTAGTAATATAAAAAAGAAATCAACAGGTTTCACAAAGAAATAATATTTCTTCGAGAAGAAAAATGAGCATAACCTAGATCACCAGAACTGCACGTTCTGTTACAGCTGATTGCTAATCATAGGGAAATTTTTTCTTTACATTGAATTGAACAAAGAAAAATAGGTTTCCTTGTCTTTCTTTATGGCATTGATAATTCTCGCCTTCAGCGTGCCGAGAATGGCCGAAAGTGAACTAGATAGCAGGAGACAATCTCTTGAAAAAATCCTCTTTCGTTCTGTCGCGCTTGGTAGAAATAAAATTAATATGCTGGAAATCCCATGTTCTAATCTTACGTTTTTTTCTTTTTTCACATATTTTTTCTGAAATAAAGTTATTAATAAATATATAATATTAGGGTGAGTATATTTTTATATAATTGTGGAATTTATATGTGTATTTTTAAAAGTTTTGAACCAACAACCAAAATATAGTCAAACTTAGAAAGAATATAGATAAAATTACTAAAATCATCACATTACTAAACTATAATATTAGGTGTACAACTTGGCTTCCGCCGTTTTTTTTCCGAAATTCGAGGCTTTATTGTAAAAAACTGGTTATACATTTATGATTCAAAGTATTGTCCATCGCTGGCTACTACTTTCTCCCATCTTTCGGGTAGCGTACGAATCCCGCGTCGAAAAAACTGGTCATCTTTTGAAGCTATCCACGAATCGATCCAATTTTTTACTTCTTCATAAGATCGGAAGTGCTGGTCAGCCAGGCCGTGTGCCATTGATCAAAACAAGTGATAGTCAGAGGGAGCAACGTGGAGAATACGGCGAGTGGAGTAGGACTTCCCATTTCAACGTTTCCAAGTATGTCTTGACCACTTTCGCAATATGGGATCGAGCATTGTCATGTTGCAAAATCACTTTATCGTATCTCTCGTTGTATTGCGGCCGTTTGTCTTTCAATGCTCGGCTCAAATCAATTGCGTTCGATATCGATCGCCTGTGATTGTTTCAGTCGGTTTTAATAGTTCATAATACACTACGCCGAGCTGGTCCCACCAAATACAGAGCATGACCTTGGACGTTAAAATCACCGTTCTTGTAGCGTTGAAATCACTCACGACACGTTCTTTCATTAATAGCGGCCTCACCGTAAGTATTTGAGAGCATTCGATGAGCCTCAGCCGCAGATTTCTTCATATTGAAGCAAAAAATTAAAATCTCCCGCAAATGACGAGAATTTGGCTCGTAAACTGACA